TTATTGAACAGCTCATACCTGTATTAGTCGTACTTCGTCTATTTCTCTGATGCAGAGGCAGAGAGATTGTGGGATCAGCGGGCTGAGCGTTGCTCATGTGCGATGAAGAATTGCTTTTGTAGAGCGATATTCTTTTGAGTTGCATTCGATTGACCCGAACAGTGCAACTGCTTATGACTGAAGATGTGTCGTGTATTTTACAGATGATAGATGACGTTTGTTGATTGTATGATATGTACGTTTAGGTGATGCGTTTCGTTGCACACTTATGCAAACACCACGTGTCAACCAACGTTACAATATGCATTATCGATTGAATCGATTCCAAATAGTATTTCTTTCAGTCAATTTATCATCACTTTCATTTCTATTACTCGTTTTCATCTGCGTCTAAATCTTTCATCTGTTATCAGTCAAAATATATTTTTTGCCTGCTCTCTTCCTTTCGTTCTTCAAAAAACCCGTCAGCGAGCGCTTTGTTTCTACCAATTATTTATTTCTTACAGTATTCATAATTTTGATATCAAAACTATCACAGTGAGAAAAAACGGTGATCATAGCATTAATAATAATAAGTATAATAATAATGATGATAATAACGCATAGTAATAATAACAATACTAAAAATAAGATCCATAATAACCATGATAATTTCCATGGTGACATGATCGTATTTGTAGCGATAAGGATAACGAGAATGGTGGATCGTTTTTTCGGCATTATGATATATTAAATACCATATGCCATCGTACACGTTTTTTGGTTGACAAATTAAAAATCTCTTTTGAGATTTTGTATTTCGTGATCGTTTATCATTTTTCTGCTCAGATTGTCGATATTCCGCTTCGTCATATCTCCTCTAGCATACTGCAAACAGCCGAATGGCCATTTGCGCAGATTTATTATGGTTTATATGAGATTTTCGATTTTTGGGGAATAGAGCCTTTCATGAGTTTCGTTTTGTGCTGCCGACTTTGTTTGAGGATTGTTTGATCTTGCGATGGGAATAGATGAGGGGGGATGGATGATTCATGCGGAATGTTTTCTCTGCGACATGTCATCATTATATGCTTGAATGCTTGTGTTTTGATTGATAAGGCTCAATACGCCATATATACACATGTGTGCATACGCCTTCACTGCTATTGATTTTGCTGATTGAGGCCAACTAACCGACAACATTCTTACATCTAAATTGAATGACTTTCATTTTGTGTAATATTTTTTTGTATGATATCATTATATGCGAATAGCGCATAATCTGTACATTTTTTTGTGCAACTGCATCATTATTAAAGCGAATGTAAGTGAATATAATAATGCTGAAAGCTTTGATGATGGTAATCCTGTTAATATCAGCACGAGTAATGGGTTCTTTGATAACAGTTTTTGCATTGCCGCTGTGTATGTTGCACTTGAATGGCTACATAACGATATCGACTTGACAACGTCATCGGAACTCAAAGAAAATGCAACCAAACATTCAATTCAAGCGCATTATAAGTGCTGATAGCAAAGTTTTATCGGAAATTTTCAGTAAAATTCGCTAGTAATGAGCAATTAGCGTATTCGTAAATGCCATGCTGTCATCATAAATTTTATGCTGGGTATTACTTGATTATCTCGAAATATGTTGATGAAATACTTGTTTGTCATGAAATAGACGATTCAGTTTTGTTGACAACCAGTTTCGCACTAACTAAAATGGTTTATTGATATGTCTACAATCTACAGTTTATTACAACTATTGGTATTCCCGATCAGCGTCACCTACAGAGCAAATAATTGCAAGCTAATTGTAAGGCAGTAAAAACCATTGATTGATATGTATAATAAGTGCAAATCCACATGTAAATTTCAATTGGGGAAATTCCGGATTAGGAAGTGTAAAAGTTCATTGCTTTTATTAGCTGTTTTTCGAACTCATCTGTCGTCATGTACATGGGCATAAATCACTCAGTAGAACATTTCATGTGTGGCAAACTGGTTGTTAAGAAAGCAATAATGCTCCTAAATCGATGATTACACTCATTCATCACTGTGCATCTCATGAAAGGGAATGAATAATCACGCGAGGTACTCGTTGGTTTGGTTTGGTTTCGTTTTCGGAAGAGCTGATCGAATTTCATCGTGAGCACGTAATGTTATTGAATCTGTCTGTGGTCGACAAAATCTTTGCCATTTCGCAGTTTTGTTTGCAAAAGGAAGTGGATGAAAATTGGTCTTTATCGCCAAAATGGAGAGAATGAATCCGCATTTGCATTTTATCGAGCCAACATTTAAAACGTTCCATTTTTTCGATTAAACAGAGAGATGAATCTATGCGAAAATGTTTATAGATTGCACACAAGAGTTAGCGACAATAAGTCATCATAAGCATATGGATTGGAGATGTTGCGTGCGGTCGATTCATCTTCAGATGTTAAATTAGGTTCAGAGTAATTTCTAGTAAAGATTCAGCGAACGTTTTCGTATTTTATTATTCAGAGTGTTGATACTTATGAATGTTTTAGTGGAGGGCATTTAACAATTTCGACGATCAGGATCATTGTGCTATTGCATTAGGTTGATAACTATAAATTTGTGTCGAATTTTATACATCATCAATGATTATTCCACAATGTTCAGTTGTTTTTTTCGCACGCAATAAATTACTCGTTGTTAATTCTGCTGCTGTAAGCGACTTCATTTTATTGGTAATGAATCAAAGCGCAGAAATGTCTAACACTTTAATGTTATACGCATGCACACGAATTTTAGTTGATTTATTGAGGCAATAAATACAAAATTATGGCCATACGCTCAATATAATTGTCTCTGTCGAGTTCCCTTAACAACCATAAATATCTTTTTTTTGGTGTCAGCGAATGTGAATGAGTTTTTGCAACGGATTGATTTCGCCTTCATATCGTAGTCATTTGGCTGAATCATGTCCCTATGGTTGTTGCGTATCGTTGGCACATGTAATCGATCGTATTCCCGTCAACGAGCACACAAGAAGAGTTGTTTTAAGAGATGCCTCCAAAGAAGGCTCAATCGAGCACAAAAGATCAAAACGCGTCAACACCACCGTCATCGGCTAGCAATGCTTCTGCATCCACAAAAAAATCAGCTGACATCGTGAAGACGGTAAAAGCGAACGACAAAATGCAAGCAGCAATAGATAAATTTGCAGCCGATCTAGCGAATGATTCCGATGAAGAAAGCAGCAGCGCGAACGCTACAGCGTCAAGTCAACGAAAATCAAACAGTCGGTACCATTTACAAGCGAGCAAAAACTAGCAAATGAATTCACTTGTTTCTTGTTCAGTGTCTTGAAATGTCTTATTTCATTTTCTCTACGAGGCATCATACCGATCTAAATCCACCTCAGTCTATTGATTAGCACTCACTGAATAGTCATCTGAATTTTTAACGCTAAGTTTTCCAAGAAAGACTTTTAGTCAAAATTCCAATAATACAACGTATGTATTAAATGATTATTTGTAAAGTATAATAATTTGAAAGATGACATTTCACATCAGTCTGATATTTCTTCGAATCAGTTCTGTTCTGTTGTTACGAAGTAATATTTGATTAATTTCCCTGAATGCGGATGGTAATCATCTTTTTTTTTGAAATTAAATCATCGCATTATTTCCGTCGAGGACTTTTGGCATTGTTCAAAAGATAATTCTGCGAATGAAGTCATGAAATGGTTCCAAATCGTCTGTGAAGCAATCACGTTGAGTAATTTATAGCGCACTTTATCTTGCCTCTCTCACATGAAATTGCTGTCATATAATTCTTTTTAAAGCTTTTCTGGAGGTGACTGGTCGAAATTTTGACATTTGTCTGTCATTGACACCTGTTGTATTCACCGATCTGCCGTCATTATGTTCGTAGAACTCTTGCGATTGCCAATTTTCATCGATAAAGTTCTATAGGGTTAAATTACTAGCATTCATTCATGAAGTAGTAGCGTTTTGTGATCAACAGTGTCTTTGATCATCGGTGGTTTGTCGTTAGAAAAGGAACATTTCTTCAACAGTTGATGATTTCTAGTGATATCACCCTGTCCCATAAGGACTTCAAACTGTAATTCTGAGCCTGAATCCATCATAGTTCACTGTAGTTTTGAGCAGAATTAGGAGTCTTCATGCATGAACTTGTTATAATCAATGTTTTTTTTACAGTTTCGGAGGAATCGTTCTCTGCGAACGGTAGTGCAACGGAACTAAGTGAAGCGGAAAAGGAGATCATCAGGGAAGAACTCAAAAAGGTAAAATTTTCGTAAGTGATCCATTTCATTTCTTAAACGATTCTCACCTTCAGAATCTTTCTGAGATGCGCAGTTATTCATTCAGAAATAAAATTGTCGTTATAATCCAACAATGAGCAAAATGAAGTTATGTATTTTGGTTTATTACTAGACCGAAGATGAAATCAACACACTACGTCAAGTGCTGGCGGCAAGGCAAAAGCATGCTGCTGACTTAAAACGTAAATTGGGCATCTCACCGTTGACTGAGCTCACGGCGGATATTAATCAATCGCTGCAACACGTTAAAGAAACGCAAGCGTACGTCTTTTAGTGAATCTGAATTTTAAATTTTGTTTTTCGTTGCGATTTATTGAGTTTCATTTGAAGTTCACATCTTGAAAACTGTCGTTGTCTTCTTTTTGATCTGTAAAAAATTTGCAGAGTTTGCGCTACAGCATTTTCAGTTCTTTGCAATAACGAAAACGTTCTCCATATCTTCTGATTC